TTCTCATCTGTCGCGAAGAATGGTTGCATTTTCAGGTTGCACTTTCTGGTTGCACTTTGCTTTGAACAGCTACCGGAACTTAGGAAGAACTCGTATATACAACCTTTTTTTGTTTTTAATCATTTCACACCAAGCAAGGCAATAAAGCTACTAAGATGAAATGGGTTATTGTTTGTTAAAGAATATAAGACAAAAACACAAGTTAGGAGAGAGAATAATAAAAACACAAGAATTACGAAGACGGATGATAACGAGTGACATTGCATTAAAATTTTTGAAGATTAAGCTTGACTGGAAAGCAAGAAGCAGGACCATAGTTCCACAAGCAAGAAGTGCGAAAGAGGAGATTATTAGCATTGAACTTACGGTTACATCTGGCCATTTCAACTTTAAGATGATAAAATCTCACTGCCAACCTAGTAGGATGCTTAAATTCACAAAGTACCAAAGAAGAAAGCTCACCATGACAATATTTATAGAAAAGGCCACAGAAAAACAACGATACGGCGGTGGCAAAGTGACTGAAGCCGAGATGCCATGCCAGGACCAATAACACTGCAGGTTCGTCTTTGGATTTTATTAAGAATTTCTAAATATATAACAGGAACACCAGGTCAAATGTAACAGAAATTTTCAAAGAAAGGACGAATGGCAGAATTTAAAAATGTAAGATATATTCTGGCGAGAAAAATTGTCTAGCTCTACACAGTGAATTAACTTTGCTAGCTGCAAACTTTGCTGTTGATTCAATAGGATCTTTCAACTTCATGTCAGCGGAAAACGTTAGTTCGATAAGGTGTAATGAGTCATTCTCTTGGAGGTTAGCATCAGCCATAATGATGGAAGTTTAAAAAGTTTTGTTTCAGAAGATTAAAAGAGAGTAATTTCTTTTTGGAGTTATAACCATTGAAAAACCATTCCTTGTCTAAGTTAACTTTGCAAAAAAATGCCAAATCCGGTAAATGGAGCAGAAAATCACCTGTCATGGGTTTACGTACGTAAGATCAGAACAAAAATGCCGCATTGTTCTCATATCGGGTCTGGAGTTGGCCAATCCTTTCTTTCCAGCCTCGACAGAGTTCAAAAGTATCTACCTGACATGTATGTGATTATTTTCCACTTTACTACTCCGCTCCTTTCCCATGAAGCCTATCGCTATTTATCGCTTTCTATGAAAAATATTCTGACAAGCTATATTTCCTACTTTCACTAGTTCAGACCTTTACTGCTAAAAGCCGATATGCAATGTATGCAGAGGTGAATCATCCTCCTTCCTATTTTATTCGGTACATAGTCGGAATACTCGTGCATGTATTGAGAAATCTATAATAAAATGGAGTGTACGTCTGTCCGTCCGTCCGTCCGTTTTTCGATATCGGCGTATCTTAAACAACCTGAAATAACAAGTAGTAACTACTTTAGTTACACGCGATTAAAACTTAAATAAATAACTCATTTAAAGTTAAATTTAAATATCGAACTGAGTGAAAGGTTTTAAAAAAACAATTCTTTATTAAAGACTTAACTTTAATTTCGCTTTTCGTCGCAACTGGATTTGAGTTTAATTATATCGTAATTAAAATGTGGCACACGGTACGTTGCTTTTTTTTTTTTCACGCGTACTATGACCTATTCGAAATATTACATAATTTGGGTTCCCTAATGTCTTTTAAGAGGGATTTTATGTGAAGGATTCATAAAGAATTGTGATTTTAAAAGAACTACAAAGATCGGTTGCGTATACGAAGAAAGATTATGCCGAATTAAGGTGTCAAATAAAGGTAAAATAATTTTATTATTTCTAAATTCTTTTAACTTTTACATATATAGGATGTTGAAGGTAAAAGTCCGAAGGCCTAAATGTCCTCCGTAGGAGCTCGTCTAAAGTCCACCCGAAGGGCGGCTTCTGGGCTAGTTTATAAATATTTGTGTGTAGTCAGATGTATATACCTGTGTAAATTGTTTCGTATATCTGAAATTTTAAATATTTTCTTGTTAGATTTATTATCCCAGAGTGGGGTATTTAATAACAAAAGTGATGAAAACAAAAAAGGAATTAATTAAATTGGCTAGACTCTATACTCAAAACATTTTTTTAAAAATTAAATTCTCAACGTCCCCTCTCCTTTATATGCATGTTGAGATGCATCAAAGTAAACATTACTTTAGTCCGATTAAATGTTAAAGGACGAAAACTTTTCCACTTTGTCATAAATTTTCATGAAAATGTGTATATCTCTTATCCTAACCTCTAGTAGAGCAACACTTTGCATCTTCTTCTTCTAATGTTTTCTGCTGACAATGGGAGTGATAAAATTGAATATTTTGCAAGGTCTACTGCTAGGAAAGTTGGTTCACTGTGCCGTGCCAGAAGATTCTTCTCATCAGAATCCATCTAGCACATTTATAAATCTACCATTCGTCCGTGCATTGTATATTGTGTTTTACAACGCATAGTGTAGCTGTGGCATAAGGCCAAAAGTAGGGAGCACCAAGTGAGGATCGAACTCACTACTCAGTCGTAATTGATCTAGCGAGACAAGCTTGCTAAACATTACGTTAAGTCGAGGTGCCTATTAAATTGAATGTTGCTGTCATGTCTGCTCTAGTTTGGTCTGGTACCCTTCCTGGATATCTCGAAATTCCTGACAAAGTCCAAAGAAGTATTTTTGTAATCGATTCTGACTTAACATCTCGGCGTCAGTCACTTTCTCAGTGTCATAATATGGCTTCCCTCTGTCTTTTCTACAAACATTTTCATCGTAATTGTTCTGATGAGCTTTCCTCCTTGGCATGAATTTAAGCATGCTACTAGATTGGCAGTTAGGTCTCACGGTTTTACTGTTGAAATAGATAGATGCAAATTCAAGTTCTATTCTAATAGTTCCTTTTCTCACCTGGGGAACTCTCTACCGGTTTCCCTGCCACCTACAATCTTCAAAAAATTAAACGCCAATCCCCATGTTGTATCATCCTGAAACTGTTCTTTTATTGTCCTTTTTTAAAAATCCAGCATTAAATGGCATTATATAATGAAAACCTGAGATTTTATAAAACTTTGTCTTCACACAAAAGGTCAAAGTAGCAAACATCATCCAAGTGATAGAGATCGATATATATATATAGCATTTTCAAATTGAACCATGTCCATATGTATTCGAATAAGCTATTATCACATGCCAACAGCAATAACACAGGAGATGGTAGGAGTGTGGGCACATGAGGTTGGAGAGGGGGAGGTAAGAAGAGAGAAAGATGTTTGATTGTGAGAGAGTTGTTGAAGACAAAACAATAAATCAACACAAGTTAGCAAAGATATTAATTCAACAAATAGTATATATTTCCATGTGATAAGATGCTGACCATTAATCTTATTGATGATGATGATTATAAATAGCATATCTCACATCAACATCTTATTGATGATGATGATGATTATAAACAGCATATCTCACATCAACATCTTATTGATGATGATGATGATTATAAATAGCATATCTCACATCAACACCTTCAAGTTCAAATCTCACCAGAAGCTCAGTTTTCATTTCTAACCTATGCCACTTCTTCATGAGTGCAGAAAGATAATTTGAGTTTTTGTTGTAGAATACCTACGGACAATGGTAGATATGTCCCCATTCCCACAAATACAGTAGTGAATACTGTATGTTGGTCTGCAGTTGGATTTTTAAAAAATCCATATTTGCACTTGCAAATGTGTGCTTTATGCTAATAAAAGAGTTTATATTTTCCTATATTATACACTTGGGTAACTACTATGTATAAATCTGTATTTACAGATAAGAAAATGGGTTTACATAATCCTGTTTTTAAACTTTTTGAAATGCTTGTGCAATGTGCATAGGCTGATGTTAGCGTAAGCGTAGTCGTACGGATGTAAATGATAGCTGGTTATTAAATGTGTATTCATACTTATTTTTCTACGTGTACATGGGCGATTTTCTTTGCGTCTAACCGGGTGTACGTCTTTATTTTTGTGTACTTCTGTATATGTTTCCATTAATGCGCGCATGGACGTGTAAGTGCCTTCTTAAGCGTCCGTTTGTGTGTGCGTATGTCTGTCTGTCTGTCTCCCTCTCCCCCCACTCTCTCTCTCTATCTATCTCTCTGTCTTTCTCTCTATGTGTGTATGTGTTCAGTGGCTGTCTTTCCAAAAGACGACAACCCATCTCATTTGGAACATTTCACAAGCCAGTGCCCGCTTTGTGAGGAACTGCTCGCTCGTGAAATATGCAACGCGCCCGGCTTTATTCATTGGGAATTGTCGAAGTGCCAATGAAAGACATTCTCTTTTCCCCTGCCACCCACTGATCTCTTTTTTTTGTCCCTCGCCTTCTATTTTAACAATCCGTTTCGTCCTGTCTCCCGTACACGTCCGAGTCGAACGCGAGTAAACCAGCAACACCAGACTTCTCTTGCACCAGATGGGTCGCCTGCTTTGCGAAAATCATAATTGAATTCTTATCTAGCCATTGCTTAAACTCTTTCTTGAATCAACCTTTTGTACGATGTTCCTCATCTCCAACAAATTGCCGCACAAGTTACTCAAAGTCTTTCGAGGATGATGGAATGAGCAGGGGAAGGGATGCTGATGCAAACTGGTTGGTGGCCAGGGTCGGGATATTAGGAAAGGTACAGAGACGCTACCCTTTATCCTCTTCCTCTTAACTTCATTTATTCTCTCTCTCTCTCTCTCTCTCTCTCTCTCTCTCTCTCTCTCTTTTTTTCTTGCTCAATTTCTCCTCTTTTTGTTTTTTTTTCTTTTCGTTTTTGTCACCGTTATCTTCGTTCTTTTTCATTTACTCTGTTTTATCCTCTGTGCTTTATTGACCTCTGTGTTTTTTTTTTAATTATAAATTCCTTCCTGAATTTTTCATCCTGTCTTTTTAACTAATTATTTAACCAAAATAAACTTCATTCCTTCTCCTTTTTTATATAACCTTTATTCTTCCATTATTTCCTGACAAGAATATTCCGCAATGTGTTTTTTCTTTTCACTTTGCCTTATACTTCTATTTCTTCTCCTGAACATCCTTTTTCCTTTTTTATTTTCGATTTTTTTCCTATTATTCATCTGTAACCTTTCTTCTTCTTCTTCTTCTTCTTCTTCTTCTTCTTCTTCTTCTTCTTCTTGCTCATCTACATTTCTCCTTCATTATTTTTTTCCTTTTCTTTTTCATTTGTTTTCTTTCTTTTGCCACTTCAATCTTTCCCTTCTTCTTTCTTATTCTTCCCATTCTGATCTTCTTTCAACTTCCTTTATTTTTTCTTCTTCTACTTATCCTTCTTTCTTTTTTAATTATTCGAGATTATTCCACTTATTCTTTTATTCTTTCCAGATCCTTCATATATAATGATTATTATTATTATTATTATTATTATTATTGCTTTCACGTTATTTTTTCTTCATTCTCACATCCTTCTTCATTTTTCTTCTCTTCTATTTTCTTTCTTCTTCGTTCTTCGTTCCTTTTTCTTTGTGCCAACCAGATTCTCTTTTTCACCTTCCTTCCATTTTGTTCATTTTCAATATTTCTTTCCTTTTTCTTTCTTTATTTCTTCTTCTTTCTTCTTTTTCGTCTTCAGTATTTCTCTTCTTTTTTTCGTCTGTATCCTCTTCAATATTTCCTTTTTCTTCTTCATTTTAGTATTTTCTTCTTCTTGTTTTCTTCTTTTTGTTTTTCTTCTTCTCCTTTCCGTCATTTTCGTCTCCAGTATTTTCTTATTCTTTGTTCTTGTTCATTTTCACTATTTTCTTCTTTTCCTTTTCGTCCTCAGTATTTATTTCTTCTTCTTCTTCTTCTTCTTCTTCTTCTTCTTCTTCTTCTTCTTTCTTCTTCTTCTTCAGGTCCAGATTCAGATTAAGGCAGAGTAAAAAGAAAATGCAAAATTAATTTGACACTGATATTAGCTCGGACGGGGTTCGGGGGACCTCTGCCTAAAAGAACAAAAATGGTTATGGGGGTTCGGTCCGTTATGGCGGCGGGTGAAGGCCTCTAACGATCGAAAATACAACAGACGCGTGTTAGGGTGGAGGACGGTTCGTTAGGAGAGAGCGAAGTCGAAGAATCGAAACGGCTTTGAGCAGAAGGAGGTTCTGGTATTTGAAATGGTTCGACTACCATTGGATGGAGAAGTGGGTGCGGCAGCAGCGGGGTGGCGGGAGGTGTCGATATTTAAAGTGTGAAAGGATGAAGCTGTCGCAAAATGAGTAATGGATATCCTTGTTGAATGTAAGTAAGTTTGGATAAATTGAGCATATATTCTTGTGAGTGCCGGCGTGTCTCTATATCTGCACGTCTTTTTGTATGTCTGTGTATGTGTTTGTGTGTGTATTGTGTTCTAGAGAGATAGAGAGAGAGAGAGAGAGAGAGAAAATGAAGAAGGAGACACTATTTCTACTCGTGTAAAGGTCGACCTGTTCTTTTCAACCAGAAATTAACTTAACAAAGCATCTTGTTATGGTTCAATGAAAAATTCACGATAGATTAAATAAAACTTTGCTCTGCGATCGCTAAACTGACAGTCGTTGAACCTGAAACGCCGAATCACAAAAGTAAAAGACCAGTGCGTGGACGGTCATATCTCTCCACAACATCCTATTTTCGGTCATTAGGACAAAGGGGTTACTAAGAGTGATTGATTGACTGATTAGTTTTGTATTGTTTATCAATCTTTTGCAGATTATTTAAAGCCAGAAAATATTTTTAAATTAGAAAAAATTTTTTAGATAATATCGATTTAGTGATACAAGTCTTATTAATTAATCCATAGCTGGGGGGAGAGAGGCGGATTCATACCTTTCCAAATGGCATTTGCGCGGAAGTGAGTATAAAGAATCGAAAAGGAATTTCGAATTCAATTTTCCTATTAACAATTCCGAGCAAATTACACCACCAGCACATCCAAGTTTACAGCATCAAGCGGTTACTGAGAGAGAAAGAGAATGAGTAGACTTTAGTGAGGAGAAAGGACAATAAAAGAACAGCTTTCAGGAAGACAGAAGATGGCGATAATGCCACTAAGACACAACGGGTTACTAAGCGCGAAAGAGAAGACTTTAGTGAGGAGAAAGGACAATAAAAGAAGTTTCGGGAAGACAGAATATGGCGATAATGCCACTAAGACACAAGGGGTTACTGGGAGTGAAAGAGAACGAAAAGGCTTTGGTGAGGAGAAAGAACAATAAAAGAACAGGTTTCAGGAAGACAGAAGATGGTGATAATGCCACTAGGATGCAAGGATTTACTGGGTATGAAAGTGTTATGGTCCGGTTCCTTGTACCACGGTGATAGTCCGAGATAGAACCAATGAAGAAGAACTCGAACACGGATATGGAATAACCCAGATATATTACAAATAGGAATATATACAGAAGTAGGAAGTGTTAGTACGAACAATCAGGTTTAGTAGTAATTGTCTGAATGCGACTCTGTTCGGACTGCCTCTGACTTGACTGACTGATTCGCTCGCTCTGAATGACTGACAGACGTCTGATGGACCTCACTCCAGACTTCAGACTGAACGGTATTTAGTCACCTCCACCACGAGGGCATCATGTGGCACAAGGCCGGTTTAAAGTGGGATCTCCGAGCCCGTGGGCTCGGCCAAAAATATGCCCTTTGAACCCGTATAAGCCTGTTCAGTGTCGGTTTACCTCCCCGAAAGAGACTCCGCCCTTCGGCGTAGCCTCGTTCGGGTTCCTCCCCGCCCGAAGGCAGAGAGTTCAACCGATCAGCCGGTCAGCCGGTCAGCCGATCGCCCGACTTCGGACTGAACTTGCTGCTTGAGGCGCAGTATTTATTACGTATGGAATAGTCCATTATGTTATTATGGGTAAGGTCCTGTAACAGAAAAGGAATAAGAAATCTTTAGTGAGGAGAAAGGACAATAAAAGAACAAGTTTCAGGAAGATGGAAGATGGTAATAACGCCACTAAGACACAAGGAGTTACTGTGTGTGAAAGAGAACGAGAAGACTTTAGTGGGAAGAAAGGACAATAAAAGAACAGATTTCAGGAAGACAGAAGATGGCGATAATGTCACTAAGACGCAATGGGTTGCTGGGCGTGAAAGGGAATGAGAAGACTTTAGTGAGGGTAAAGGAGAATAAAAGTAGTTTCAGGAAGACAGAATATGGCGATAATGCCACTAGGACGCAAGGATTTACTGGGAATGAAAGGGAACAAATCTTTAGTGAGGAGAAAGGACACTAAAAGAACAGGTTTCAGGAAGATAGAAGATGGCGATAATGCCACTAAAACGCAAGGTATTGCTGTGAGTGAAAGAGAATGAGAAAACATTAGTGAGGGGAGAGGACAATAAAAGAACAGGTTTCAGGAAGACAGATGGCGATTGACGTTGAATTTAAATTTTGAAGATTGCATGTGGCAGGGAAGTAATAAATCGAAATTAAGTTCCACAAGCGAAAAGTGCGAGAAAGGAAATTATTAGAATAGAACATAATGTTGCGTCTAGCTATTTCAACAATAAAACGGTGAGAGAAACTTGTTAACCATTACACCACGTTGAAGTAATCATGTTCAGTTAATATTTATATTCATTCAGTTGCTATAAATTTTATATTTATTAGTAACACGTGTTTAAGGAGACATCTACGTTAAATAATTTTTTCAATCATAACTGTTTTAAAAAATTGTATGACGTGAAATATTTTGGATTTTCTGAAATGAGGATGGCAGTTATTTACTTTATTTCCATATGAACTGTTATCCTCATATTTGTTGTTATTATCAGAATGTTTCGATCGTTCTGTCCTCCGACCATCATCAGGTGTATGTAGATGCAGTGGAAACGGGTGAGCAACAATTTCTATTGTGATACATCTGTTATCAACATAGCGAGAGGCTTCAGTTGTATCACAGTTTTGAATACAAATTTAGAGTGTTACTGACCCCAATGGATATGCTTTTTCTTTCGTTGGATGGACAACTTTCATATATATATATATATATATATATATATATATATATATATATATATATATATATATATATATATGCGCTGCTTTATCCACCTTTTTAGTGATCTACCGGAATAAAGGGTGTTCCAATAACTTGGACCGATTTTAAAAGTGAATGAAATTTAAACTTCTAATGAACTTTTTCTTTTTCCTTCACATTTAACAACTTAAATGTTTGGCAATTTCAACTATGGAAAGATTAAAAATCAAACAATGTATTAAAGTTATGGACGCCTAATACGAAAATGGACTGTCAAACAGAATTTGAATGAGAAATTCCCAGGTCGCATCATCTCTCGAAACAGTGAAGTCAATTAGCCACTACAATCGTGCGACTTGACACCTTTAGATTTCTTCCTTTCGAGTCATCTCAAAAGTAAGGTCTATGCCAACAAGCCAACAATTCAACAGCTAAATGATATGATAATAAGGCATATTTATTATGAGCCTCTGCTTAGGCACGATCAAGATTTTAACACGAGGTACTTAAAGTTATGTGATAGAGGCTTTTCTGGGAAAACTTTTTGGTTCAAAAACTTGCTGTAATTTTTCAATGCCACTCACCATTGTCTAGAAATATTGGCCTGAAAAACTGCTACTGGATTTCAATGTTTCCCTGCAGAATGATACCGACACAATCACACACCCACTTCCAGCATATTTTACCACAATCTCTGACATCTTTTGGAATCGTTCCTTGCAGATTGACCACAGATTCTCGATACGATTTAAATCAGGTGATTTTCCGGGCCAATCTCTAGTACTTTGATTTGCTCACTGGTAAGGCATGCCAATGTGTTCGTGCTGCGTTACAATTTTCGTACGCTTCCTTGGAGTAACGTCCATCACAGACAATGGCCGTAGGACAACTAATCGACACTCGTGACAATAGTGTCTGGGCACGATAAAAATCTGATGCAATCACGGATGATGCAATATTTTTCAAGGCCAAAACAAATTTCATCAGACACCACGTTTCATATTACTGCACACCACTGCAAATGACCTAATTTGAGGAAAAAATAAAAATGGATTACACCCTGTTACTCCAGTGTGTCTAAAACTGACCGTATGGTGAAAGAAAAGAAAGCTAAAGTGACTGTTTCAATTAATTTGCACAAGGATGTACATGCTTCAGGGCGTAGGCGATGAAGACTCTCAACAATTTTCTGTCTTTCTTAGATTGTCATAAATCGTGTCTTTTTATCTCTTTTAATTCCCGCTCTGCCATCAATTTACTCAAGATCGTTAGGTAGGATATGCATTGTTTTCCTTTGTACTTCTTGTCTTCAATATGCCCTGTGAGTATCAAATTTTCTAACCCCTCTATCCTCGTTATTTACCCTAGTAATTTCAACTCTCCCTTCCTGGTGTTAAGTATCAGCGAACTTTTTGTTTCTGTTTTCTCTACAACTTCATCGTTGCTCCCTTGTTCGGTTCTTGGTATTCTCAGTATCCTTCTGTAGAGCCACCTTTCGGTTGCTGGAAGTCTCTTCTTTATCTGTGAGGAGATTGTCCAGCATTCACTGCCATATAGGAGACCGATATTACATACTAGCTCAGCACTCTTTGTTTCTATCGAAATACTTTGCTTGCGTTATGGAAGGCATCTTTGCCTATATGTTTCGGGTTTCAATGTCGCACTTTCCATCCACTGTTAAAACATTTCCCAGATATACAATTTTTGTACTTGTTTGATTTTGTAAAGATACCAGAATCAAGCAAGTATAAAAGTTTAAATATCTGGGAAAAGGTTTTTAAAGAAAAAGGGAATGTGTGCCACTAAAATACGAACTCTCCAAATCTTTATTAAGCTCTAATGTTATCTGCTTTTATCCATTTTCTTTGGTGATACATGAACTAGTG